GAAACTGGTTTTCAGTGTTTGAGTTTTTGTGAAAAATTTTCAATATGCAATCCTTGTTTGGGCGCAGCTTGCCGTCTTCTTTGCTTAGGGTTGTGATTCTGAGTATATAGGCAAGCTTTTAGGTTAAGAATATTACACAAAATCCATGGCAATAATTGTTTTCAATCTTTGATTTGTTAAGGATCTTTTACAATCTTTTTTCATGGTTTTTGTGTTCAATCAGCTCAAATCTTATCAAAACTTGCCATAATCAATTAAGCACGAAATATTGAGATTAGAATGTGCATAAAAAGATTTTTTAGGTTAGGTTTGATATTTTTCATATATTAAAATCATTTAAATGAATATAAATTAATATTAATTCAAATAAATAATTAAAAAATATGAGAATACTTCCCTTTGGGCCTAGTGGTCGTGCATAGGCTTGGCATGAAGAAACTTGGAAGAAAAATGGGCCCATTTGCATTTTTAGGCCTTTTGCATCAATGTTGACTTTCAAAAATTTCCAAAAATTTCCCAACTTCCACAAGGCATAACTTGGTCAATTTTTAAGCTTTTCACATGTTCTTGGGCATTTTGGAAAGGTCTTTGAGTCCTTTAACCAATGCCTTTGGTCCCATGTCATTTTGATTTACCAATCTCAAGTTATGGTCTTTGACTTAAAGTCACTTTTTGTTGACTTTTGAAAATGACCTATAATGTTGAAATTGATAACTTTTTGTGAGAGCATTTCTTGGACTTGGAACATGAAGATGAATTGTAGGAAATGTATTTCTCTTCAAAATGAGCTTTGGATGGAATTTTTATGATAATCCATGTGAAAGTTATGCCCTGGTCAATTTCAGTTGACTTTTTCAGCTGTCCAAATATAGCAACTTTTGCATCTTTGATGATTTTTGAGCCAAATTTTGAGAATCATGATCAAGAATTGATCAAATGATGTTTGTGGCTTCAAAATGATATATTGACCAAAAATTTGAACTTTTGACTGTCAAATGACCATTTTGCCCCTACAGTTGACTGTAGTGCAATTTAGGGTTTTGACTGTGCAATTTTGAGCTGAATGCCTTGAAACTTGATATGAGGATACTTGACCATCTTTGTAGGCATGTGAGACTTGATTGGGCCTTTGAAAAGTTCATTTGCTTGACCAGAACTCAAACCCTAGTTTTGACTGTATAGGAGACAGTTGAGCTGCACAACCCTTGGGGAATTTTGTGACCTTGACTTTGACAATTCTTGATGAATATGGGAGGGCAAATTTTGGGGTACAACAATGGGTAACCTTCTCGGGATCACTATGAACTAACCGTGCAGCTCATAGCTCATTCGTGAACGCCCTCTTCAAATAATTAAATCTGACGTGAGTACCACGGGTGGCGTCCATCTCAGCCATAACATTACTCTCAGGGGAAACTCCCAATCTCTCTACCAACAACTCCAACGCCTCCTCTTTGTCGCACATGTCATGGTCTAAAAACCTCCCTCTTATCAGAAGATAAAGCAGACACGCGACGTCGTCTAGTGTGATCGATATCTCTCCATGTGATAGACGGAACGATGACGTCTCATAATGTCACCTCTCAACAAAATGTTAATCATACCTTGATTAACGTATTATATCCACAGAGGGTCAAGTCTTTAAACTCTGAAAGAACCAAGAGCTCATCAAAACATGGCTCTGCGAGAGCTACGAGTTTAGTGATCTTCCGTTCATGATTAATGATTTTCAACGGATCACGTTTCTGCATACATGGTTTAACAAAATTTAATAAACAAAAATTAATAATAAACTAATATATAATTACTAGAAAATTATTAATTCATACCTCTCTGTCCCAAATATGTCTAGAAACATGGTCCAGGTATAGAGGCAGCAATGATAAATCAGCAGACTCTCCTCCAAACTTTGAGGCACCGCAGGTGCGACCTCAGCTTCCTGGGCCTCAGGTGAAGGTTGTGGCTGGGTGTCAGGTGTCTCAGCCTGTGTGGTCTCGGGTGCCTCAGGTGGCTAAGCATGTGTGGCCTCAAGTGCCTCATGATGGGAACCACATGTCTCTCCTATCTCAAATACTATTGGTGATGAAGTACGTCTATGGGAGGACGAAGACGGTGAGGGATGAACTGGAGAGCCTCGTCTACTGCAGGAGGACGATGAAGTGTAAAAACAAGAACACCGGAAATTGTAGACGCGATCAGCATAACCTGTCTAGAGGCAGAAGAAGCCTGGGATGCCTGACTCATTTCTCTCCGCACAAAAGCATGATATGCAAGTCTGTTGTGTCTCAATCTAGATGGTCTCTCTGCCATTACTCCTGTAGAAGAACAAACCAAACGTTAACAATGAGACCTAGGTTCAAAAAAATTAAAAATGCATGAAAAATGGAGGCAAAATAAAATCAGATATGCATATCTGATTTTTGATTGAAGATGATCGAAAATACATATCCGATAAGATCTGCAACTTTACAGCTTCGTCAATGACGAAGCTCTTCCTTAGTGACCTCAAAAAAGCGGTCATTGATCGTAAAAAAATCATACCTAACACTAAAAAAAGTTGAATTTTCTACCCTAAAATAAAATTTGTAGATAAAATTACATAAACTCTAAAAAGCTCAAAAACAACTTACAAGTGATGTTTTTGTTGCTTGAATTTACTTCAACAATGAACTATGTCTAATGCTTGATGATTGTTGATAAGCTTTTCGCAAAATGAGATAATTTTGACACATTGGGATTTAAGAGAGTTTGAGTTTTGGGTGTTGAGTTCCTTTCTTTTCAAACTGTTTCTGAAAATAAGAAAGGGGAAGAGATAGCGCGCGTTTAAGTATCAACACAAACCAGAAATATAACTATGATTCCAACCGTAAATGCATTTTCGGCTCATATTTGCGTGTTAGCTTAAGTTTTTGAATCTTATAAATTGTGTGTATTTGAGATACTTCCGAAAATACAATTATAGTTTAACCCGTAGTTGTATCTCTGGTTAGTCTTCAACTAATACACAAGGTCTCGTCCTCCAAAATCCAAGTTTTAGTACGTATCGAAAACATATTTCCGATTTTTAAAAGTATTTTGAAATTTTCGCGTGGTGCATAGAAAAGTAAGAGTGAATTAAGAAATCCTTTTTTTTTTTATCTATAGGAGTATTAGTTACCCACTATAAGATTATTCACTATAAGATTATTCACTATAGTTGTTTTATCTAGATTATCTTGTAGGCATCCCACTAAGCTCAGCCACCTTAACAAATTCATAATGACTATTCTCTCAGCTCCACTAGAAAATGCTTTGGTTTGAAAATTATAATTAACAATGATAAAATAAAATTGCTATACACTCTAATATGAGACTGCTCACTTTAGAGAAGATGAATCCAAATACTTTAATTTAATTTCAAATTGTTAACGAGAAACTTTTATCTTTTCTCTTACCTGTACCAGTTGAAGAGGATGCTCTTTTCATCCTAATTTTGTCCACCCTACCCTTGAAAATTTTTCAAAAAAATCTATGGCATTCGGAAACGCATCTCCAAACACATATTTTTCACACTCTTCGGTGTAAATTGATGAACCACTCATACTTCTGCAAAAAATTAATCCTGATATACATTTCTGAAATATTCCAGAGATGTACTTCCGAAAACATGCCTGAAATGTGTGTTAAAAATTTTGCATTCAACAATGTCACATGTCTTGGCAGATGCGGTATAGTTTGGTCATTTGAGAGTCTTGAAATTAGAAATGGAAATTACCCAATCGGCTTGGGATGAAGGAAAAGAGTATGCTGAAGGTCGATTAATGTTCGAGGATACAATACCAGCTAGCATAGCATCAAAAGATAAATAACTTAAACATGAAATAGCTATTGCTGTTTTTGTTTGATATTCTGGGAAGAAGTTGGAGGTCATTGATTTATTCATTGTCCAAGAACCCATAACAGAATGTAAAAATATGACACACAATACAGGCTTGTCTTCAAAAGTTCATCTCCTACGGACTAAATTTTTGCAAAAGGGTGGTTCATCAATTTAGGCTGAAGAGTGTGTAAAAAAATGCGTCTGGAGATACGTCTCCGAACTCTGGAGATATTTGAGAGATTTCATGGTGGTGTAGAATAATACATAGGGGTAGAAAGAGCAATTTCCGTCTCTTTGGGTTCAACGATTAAAGATGGCTCTAAACCCAACTGAAAATGAGGCTATAAGCAAACAAACAAACAGGAAACTTCACTGAGCTATTAACAATGTGAATCGGTCTTATTTCCATTCCACCCACTAGTTACCATTTATACAACTTGATTGTTCAGTCATAACACTGGATTCTCTTTTTGAATCTTGATGGAGACAAGTGAAAAAACTGCCTTATAATCTTTGATAGCTATATATAGTTAATGTCAATATACACCATGAATAATTAATATTAATGGATTTCTGGGTTAGGCACTCTATACATAGTTGGCGGTGTCTCATTTTTCAGTGGATTTTTATTAAAATACTTTTTAGTGAAAGCAACAATTGACTATGGTTTATAGAGTAGGAATGAAGAAGTGTAGTAAAATAGGCAGAATCCCCGGGTATGGATCCATTGACTTTGTGGAGGGAACTGCAGCCTGACTTTCTCTCTATATCTCTCTAACAATCCACTCTCTCACCTCTCTTTTCCCTCCCTTTTTCTCTGTTTTTCAATTCTCTCTCCATAAGAAATGCCTAAAGTCAGGCAAAGTTAGAGAGGAGAAAGTTAGAGAATCTCAATCCCAGAATCCACCCATAACTACATGAAGGGCTAATTACACTGATTGGCATGATGTCAAATACAGTTCACCTCAGTAAAATATAGATTCATAAGGAATGGATCAAGCAAAATCAATAAAACATTTGATATACAAATGTACACACCATCATTCTAGGTTATCACAAATATTTAGAAGGGAAGTTGATACAGTAAATTACAAGTAAATCACAACAGAATGGAACAAATCAAATCAACAAAAAACTAAAGTTAGAATAATTTATCATACTGGCTAGTGAGTGAACTTCTCAGATTTGAATAAAGGCCATAGAGTGAATATTGGCGAAGGTTTTTCACTTCATACCAAGAGTTGAGAGCTGAAAGGTGTTTATCTGTGCCAGAGAATGCCAATTGTATACCTAAGCTGCAATCCACAGTTCCTCCATGGCTCTTGCAACTAGATGTTTGTAGTGCACAATCCTGATTGTTAAGACAGACAGCTTTTGAATTTTTCGGGCATTTAGCACATCCATCTCTATTCCAATACAAATTTTGCAGTCTGCCCTTCGTAAATTCAAGAACCTGCAGGGGTAAGATTTCAATTGGTTCTTAGTAAGGATTACGCAATTGCAACTATAAGACAAAACTAAACCAGAATTATTAAAAATGTTTTTTAAAAAGAGGAAAATAATCTCCTTACAAGAGTAAAACTGGTTACAGTATATGAGCCATTTGCAACAAAAGCAGGAGGGGACCTTGCTGCATATTTACGACCAGCAAATGCAACCATATAGCCATATGAGTCCTGGAACAACGACAAACATAGAATCCCACGTAAATTCATCAACAGAGACACAAAAAAGCAAAAGTTAACCAAACTGGTGATGTAATTAAGCCGCCACAAGTCAAGCATCAAGAACCTAACGGGCTCAATTAAGGAACTAAACAAATTTGTGCTTGCTTGGTTCAAAAACTAAGATATTGCCTGTTCTAGCAAGGCGAGAATGGGAATGTGGAAAACACAAATAGATTTTAAAAAGGTGTTACATAAAGTTTATGATCTTCAGTTCCTCACATTTCTTCCAAAAACTAAATTTAACTGATTTTCATGCCTCCAAAACTTGTATTATAAATTAGTCTATGTTGTTAATCTCAGAGAGCGCTGCGTAGCAGCGACCCCCTAAAATGCTATAGCGGATAGCGGGATAGCCGCTATTGCAAAGAATAAAAAGCAGTGTACAAAATTAAAGAAATCATCATACTTAATTAATAGTTAAAGAACCTAATGTATAGAACAAAAAAACTTAACTAGAGAAGAACATAATGAAACTGAACTCAAAAGTAGGAAGAAGTACAAAACGATTGTTTGTGAGCAAGAACGTTACATAACAAAATGACGAACAAACATTACTCTTAAAAGGATTCAGATTGAAATTTATACCATTAAAAAAAAAAAGGAGAACATTTTAAAAATAAGAATTTTAGGAATTTATCCCTGAAACTGAAACCCTGATAGCAGATGTGATAGCGATTTGGGACAACGGATAGCAGACAAAAGCATTGCACTGAATCCTACCACCGCTACGCTATTAACAATATAGAAATTAGCTGAGCTTCTAATATAAAAAACACAATGTATATATGTAAAACACAATATCAATCACAAGTTGTTACTGCCAGAGCACAATGCTCCATCGGAGTGGTAGATTGCTCTCTGCCTTACATAAACCAGACAATGCACAATGATAAAGATCCCTTAACTTCCTAAGCTTATTTCCTTAAAACTAAACACAAGACACAACCGACTCATTCTCAAAACTGCTCCCCCATTACATCAACTAACTGCCCCTCCCTTCTCTGTCCTAAACCTCCTCTCATAACAGTCTACAATTTTGGCATGATAACCGCATCAGCACCTAAGAAGCCCGGACACTTGAAACACAACACCGACACTCACACGTCGACACCAATACTAATTTGAAAAGATAAATAAATTAAACGTAACTACAAGTGTCAGTGTCGGTTTCGGACATGGACACACCTTTTTTCAACACTAACTTCCCTCTCTGCTTCACTTTCAACTATCCCTCCCTTTATGTTTAGAATGCAGAGTGAAGTAATTTCATTTCCAAATTCTCCGAAACTCAGCGAAAAAGTGAAAACTAACAATATAACTAACATTTTCACCCAAACAAAGAGACATTGATCCATTTACCCTAGAACCTCGATCATAATAATCCAAACTACCATAAAATTAGGGTTCAGGAAATATTTTCCAGTTGATTAGCATTTGGCAACAGCACGAACGAGCCTAAACCCTAAAACTAATCAAAATCGGAAAACTACAACATCAAAGAAACTGTGCCCTAATTGAATCCAGTTATCTCAATTAACAACAACAAAAACCAACAACTCTACAAAATCAAACAAATATCCACTACTAAAACAGAAATTCATAAACAGCACCGAGAACTAACCGCAACGAACGAGGAAGAATTAACCGTTAAGAGCGAGATCTCATCAACCTTAGGCCTAAACAATGAGATCTGAGAGTTCGAATTGGAGAGAGAGAGTCTAGTATCGCAGGGCGATAACTGAACACTGTTATTGTTATTATAGAAGAACTTGTCCTTCGCTGCGAACGCGAGTCCGAACGTGAAACCGTCGGATCTCTGCACGCGTGTGTCCGTGCACGGAGAGAATACTTTGTTTGTGTCGCCGGCGAATGCCGGTAAAGCTGCCGCCAGAAATGTCACGGCGATTGCGGTTGCTAGTGCGCTGATAACCGCCATGGAAGAAGATTTTTGAGGTTTTGCGTTTTTGGCCGAGGCAACACGCAGTTGATGATTACAGTGCGAAACTGCTAATTCGGTTTTCTTGCCTTAAGTCATGTAACACTCTTTTCAAAGTGCCGTTTGAGCGGTTTTGACATAAAAAATTATTGGAACTATAAGAGAAAAAAATATATGGTTCTGTTTGGTTCGATTGACTGTTAAAAATAAAATCGTCTCGAATCAAACCAAAGCAATACAGTTTAGATTGGTTCGATTAGTTCGGTTTTTAAAAAAATATTGAGTCATACATACACATATACAATAGAAACTCTTTAAATTAATAATGTCAGAAATTTATTAATTTAGAGAGTTATTAATTTATCGATAAATTAATCATTATTAAAGGTTCTAAGGTATCTGTTGAATAACAGTAATAGTGTTCAATATCCAGTTATCTGTTGAATCTCCATAGCATTGAGGCGATCCTCCAACTGTTTATACTTGTCATCAGCGGGAGGATATTGTTCCTCAGAGTAGTCAGCTTCGACTTCATCAATATCCAGATTGTCGTCTTCTTCATGACTATCCCCTATGTTGGATGGAGTTGGAAGATCTATAGCTCCCTTGACTGGTCTTCTAACTCTTCTTCCAAATTTCAGGACGCCTAGTGACTTCTTAGGCTTCTTCTTCATGTCTTTGAGGAGGAAAGTCTTCAGGTCCTCTTGCCCCTTAGCCATAGTCAGGAACATTTGTTGGAATTGAGTGTTTTGAGCTTGGAGATCGTTCACTGTCTGTTCCATATCCATCTTATTGAAATAAATAGTAGGAAGGTAAGAAGACATGTATGGGAGAAATCTGTCATGATATGATGTATGATATGCGGATGCATGTTTTCAAGGATCTCGCGTGGTAAACACAAGAAAAAGTTAGAAGTTGAACTTTGATCAACATCTTTGATTGGAAAACTTTGCATCGGTGGATGTCCTTCCACGAGAATTTAGCTCACCATTCCAAGTGGGTTGTAGCCCTTGACTCAAGTTGTTGTGCTTTGATTTTTGACGGCGTTTGGCTAGAGGAAAATAAATCATCTTGCCCCATGATAGACGTCTGGTTAAACGTGACCCTGCATCAAAGACTCTTGAGATCCTTAAAATGTTATGGTTCAATGTTATTGAAAATGCTATGGTATGTGTTATGTACAAGTATTCGAAGTAAGCAAGTTTATATACAAATAATCATATTCACACAAATCAGATAAGTCCTTAGGTTTAGGCTTGCATGGTGTTTGTAGGTAAGTACCCTCTTGAAGTTGGATTGGTTCAACCTGTCCTATAAATGGTAACCGGGTTCTAAGGGATCTCAATATCACTGATCTTTTCCCCGACTTCGTTCAATAGGCGATTGACTCGCAACCAAACAAATCTCAAGAGTCAAACCTCAATAAGTGTAGCATCGAGTATCTGTCGACCTTGGGAATACACCAAAGTTGGCTATCTCGCTACGTCCTACTGGCCAAGTTGTGCAATTAAAGGTTCTAAGGTTAGTTGATGCTTCACGACACCACGCGGCGGCCCCGTACTCTCCTTGATTGACTCAAGGGTTACCGATGCCAACCAAAGTGCCACATCAATGTAGCTACTGCTTCAACCGTGTCGGTATACCCTGCACAGTTCCCTCACAGTTTATTGCTACTTACCTAAGAGGTGTTCCCCAAATCCGGGTGTAGGATTTTTAACAATAATCCAAACAAGGACCCAAAATATAAAGCATATAAGTCAAACAAAGAAAGCAAACAAATGTGATCTAACCCTAAGGTAACCCCACTTTTAGAATTTCCCCAGCAGAGTCGTCAGTTCTGTGATACGGTGGGAGAACTAACTCGGGTCGTTTTTGCGTTTTGATCGCAAATGTTGAGGTTAGCAAGAGTCGCCACGGACTTTTCTTTTATCCAATAAGAAAAGGCTGAAAAGAACAGGAAAGACCTTTAGAGATGTTTTCTCGGGTTCGGGGGGTAGATTATGAAAAGGAAAGGTGTTAGCACCCTTTTCATCCATGGTTTTCCATGGGCTCTTAGCTACTTGCTAGATCACTTACTTTTATTTGAATGTGCTTGTGGTGTGGGTTTTGAAAGTATTTTGAAAACGTCTTTGTAATGGTTCTCGTATCTATAAGAATGCATTCAAAGTGTTTGTTTGGAAAATAGTTCAAAGATGTGTTTGTGAAATGTGTTTTTGAAAGTGATTTTTGAAAAGGTGTCTTTATAATGGTTCTCGTCTCTATAAGAACGCATACAAAGTGTTGTCTTTCGAAAATGTTTCAAAATGAGAGTGTTGGTGTATAAATTTTTTTTGTTATGAGCAAGCGAGTAACTAGGAGCGAATCTACCTACTCAAAAGGTCTTAAATGTTCTTTTCCTCCTCCTTTAGATGTTGCTATCTTACTATTGATTTGGTAAGAAGCCCCATCGTTGGATGTGAAGGGACGGGCGTGGGACGTTTGTATAGTCATAAAAGGCAACCTACGAGACGTTTTAGCCATATCATTTAGGGACTAGATCGTTTACCGAAGGCAACATTGAGGGTCATCGAGGGACTACGATATTTTATCGAGGGTCTTTGCTAAAACGTCCATATTCGAGGGACATGACTATTTTTCCGATAGGCCATAAAATAGGATTACCCTAAGGGTGCATGTGTGAGAAAGTGTGTTTGATTACATGCATTTAGTCTTTAATTAGGATTGTCTACTTGTCAATTTCACATCTTGCCATACACACCCTAATGACTAACATTTATATTTGAAAAGCGATAAATTGCAGAAATATAAAAGTCCTACTCTATTACAATATTTTAGGGACGCGGGTACAAATTTACAAATGGGGTTTTGCAAGAATTTAAATCTTATTTAACTATTACAACCATATTGAAATGTACAATACAAGAAAGAAAAAGGACTTGTTTTAAAAGTGGTTTTTTTGTCTTAATGAATTAAGAAAAGGAAATAAATTAACTAATAAAGAGACAATATTTTTATGTCTTTTTATATTAAATAAAAGGGTGTTAATATTGAAAATGATAAAAGGAACTAATGAGAGATAGAATTAGCATGCTGCTGAAAGTAAAACAAAGGGGATCAGAAGTTCTGATGTCGGGTGCGCTATGGTTCAGAAAGAAGTGTCAGAAGTTCTGTATTAATACACTTGTAGTCCTGCAAGAAACGTTAGAGGGAAAACATAGAAGTCCTGGGTTGCTATGTGCTGAACTTCTGAGTGTTAGAACAATGAGAAAGTCTTAGAAGTTTTGTGTATTAAAACAGTGAAGAGAACTCAGAAGTTCAGGATGTGCTAAGACAGTGAGGGAACATCAGAAGTTCAGTGTGTTTAAACAGTGAGAAAATCATAGAAGTTTTGTGGGTTAAAATGGTGAGTGAAAAACAGAAGTTTTGTGTTATATTTCAACTCCTTTCTCATATTAATCAGCACAACAATAACACACAGCAAATCAGAAGAATAAAAGCACAACAGTTTATAGAAGTTCTGATCCTAATCTTGAGCCTAGCCTTAATCAAGAAGTTCTGATCCACAGTTTTTCTACTTATACAATGATATAGACAACATTAATACTATGATATTTATATATTTAATGATGTTATAAATGAAAATATGTAAAGTCAGAAAGACTTACCTTGAATCTGGAGCGTGTGTTTGGAACTTGAACTGCTGCCTTCAGATGTTCTGGAGTCAGCAAGAGCAACTAAAGGGAAAATGCCAAGTTCTTTGATCCAAAGGGAAGAATAAAGATTTGGTTTTCTGTTTGGGATTTATGTATTTTTATGAAGGGTTTCACAGGTTTCTTTTCTCTCTTTTGATGATTCTCTCTCCAAAAGCCCTCCTCCTGAAAGTGTGATGGAGCAACTTATTTATAGGTGAATTTGTTGTGATTTTAGGGGGAGAAACAAATGGGATTTGAACCCTCTTTGGCATCCTGTTCCATTGCTTTTTATCACAGTTTTCGTATGCTAGTTTGGTAAAATTATGGGATGAAGGCATGGACTAAATTAGCTGTTGGTTATAGGAATGTGATGTAGCAGTACATCAGGTTGTATAAACGAGGTTTTGGGATTTGGTGATGTTCTGACCAAAGCATTGAATATGGCCTTCAAATGTTAGGGTGTTGCCTTGTTCTTGAAGCAAGTATGGTGGTTAGCAGCTTTTAGCCTTGTCTAAGCTTGATTTGTAAGCATGAATTAAGGAAAATTACCCTCAGAGGCAAAAACAAAGTATGGGCCTAGCATAACCTTGTACAAAAGTTTGTCTTTCAAGGACAACAATGGTACTTCTTTCTCACATGTGGGTAAATTCTTTGGATAAAAACTCAAAAATGGTTGTGAGCATTAAATGATGATGAGATCTATCAAACTAGAAATCCTGCGCTATGATATTGTGTATCATAGCTAAGATCTGGGCCAAAAGTTCAGCATCAGCACAACTTAGAATAAACATCCAACTTCTGATCTTTGAGTCTCCCTGCTCCAGCATGTTCTAAAGGAGTTCTCAGACTTTCCAGAAAGCTTGTAACATGCTTTGTAGACTTTCTTTGAATTACTTTTGCAAACTCTGGTTGAGCCTTCATGAAAACTCGCCCAGAAGTTCTAATCAAACTCTGTCTTGAAAATGTCCAGAATTTGCTGAGTGCTTCAGTTTGCGTGGACGTGTCTTTGAAGATTCATAACTTGAAATTCCAGCATTTCCAGGAGAAATTTTGTTCTGAAATGTTTCAGATCTTGTTGAAGTATACAACTCTTGTGTTAGAAGTTCTTCCAGAATCTGCTTGCATCAATCTAATCAGAAGTTCTGAGCTTGTCATGTTTCTTAAACACTTAGAAAAATTCTAAGTATTTTAGAATTTTGACTTTTGAATTCCTTGACGAAACAAACTTCATATTTCAACATGTCTTGATGAAATATGATTCTTGAAACTTGGTTTTGGTCCAAAAGTGAAAGTTTGACTTTTCAGTGT